AACCAGTTTCCCTAAAATCCCTTCACAAAATATTACCCTGCTCACACTCCAACAGCTCATCAGGTCCCAAAAACCATTCGTCTCCATTCACTCCTATCTAACACACTCACACATGCTTGCTGGAAGTCCAAGCCATTCGCCCACAAAACCTTCTTTACCCCCTCCCTCCAACCTTTTCGAGGATGACCCCTACCCTGCCTTCCTTCCCCTACAGATTTATATGCTCTCCAAGTCATTCTACTTTGATTCATTCTCTCTAAATGACCAAAGCACCTCAACAACCCCTCTTCAGCCCTCTGACTAATACTTTTAGTAACTCCACACCCCCAGCTAATTTCCACACTCCGAATTCTCTGCATAATATTTACACCACACATTGCCTTTAGACAGGACATCTCCACTGCCTCTAGCTGCCTCTTTGCTGCAGCATTTGCAACCCAAGCTTCATACCCATATAAGAGTGTTAGTATCACTATACAGTGGACCCCCGGTTAACGATTTTAATCCGTGCAAGAGGGGTAATTGTTATGCGAAATAATCGTTATGTGAATGAATTTTCCCCATAAGAAATAATGGAAATAAAATTAATCCGTGCAAGACACCCAAAAGTATGAAAAAAAAAATTTTTTACCACATGAAATGTTAATTTTAATACACACAAACTGAAAAAGGCATGCACACTTACATGACACTTACTTTTATTGAAGATCTGGTGATGATTGATGGGATGGGAGGAGGGGAGAGCATTATCTTCTTACTGTTTAGAAGGGGAATCCCCTTCCATTAGGACTTGAGGTAGCAAGTCCTTTTCCGGGGTTACTTCCCTTCTTCTTTTAATGCCACTAGGACCAGCTTGAGAGTCACTGGACCTCTGTCGCACAACAAATCTGTCCATAGAGCTCTGTACCTCCGTTCCTTTACGATTTGTCTAAAATGGGCCACAACATTGTCATTGAAATAGTCACCAGCACGGCTTGCAACAGCTGTGTCAGGGTGATTTTCATCCATAAAGGTTTGCAGTTCAACCCACTGTGCACACATTTCCTTAATCTTTGAAGTAGGCACAATGGATTCCACAACTGGCATAGGCTTCTCAGGGTTAGCCCCAAACCCTTCAAAATCTTTCTTAATTTCCATACTAATTCTCACCCTTTTTACCACAGGGTTGGCACTAGAAGCTTTCTTGGGGCCCATGGTCACTTATTTTCCAGAAACACCACCGAAAACGCTGTAATAATACGAAATATTCCGAGTGTATGCTTGGATGTTAGCGCGGAGGCTGCCTGGTAAACAATGGCACGGGCGGCACATGTGAGGCTGGGTGAGGGCGCACATTGGACGCGTCTCGGACGAAAATCGGTGAGCGGGTTTTTAATCGGTATGCGCGGCAAAAATTTTGCGATTAAAGTAAGCGGTATGCGAAATAATCGCTATGTGATGCCATCGTTATGCGGGGGTCCACTGTACTTTCATACATTCCCTTCTTTGCCTCCATGGATAACGTTATTTGTCTCCACAGATCCCTCAACGCACCACTCACCTTTGTTCCTTCGTCAATTCTCTGGTTAACCTCATCTTTCATAAACCCATCCGCTGACAAGTCAACTCCCAAATATTTGAAAACATTCATTTCTTCCACCCTCCCTCCCTCCAGTGTGATATCAAATTTTTCTTTATCTAAATCATTTGATACCCTCATCACCTTACTCTTCTCTATGTTCACTTTCAACTTTCTACCTTTACACACCCTCTCAAACTCGTCCACTAACCTTTGCAACTTTTCCTTAGAATCTCCCATAAGCACAGTATCATTAGCAAAAAGTAACTGTGTCACCTCCCATTTTAAACTTGATTCCCCATAATATAATCCCACCCCTCTCCCCAACACCCTAGCACTGACTTCTTTTACAACCCCATCTATAAATATATTAAACAACCCTGGTGATATTACACATCAGTGTCTAAGACCTTCTTTTACCCTGAAGTAATCTCGCTCTCTCCTACACAATACAGTGGACCCCCGCATAACGATGGCATCACATAGCGATTATTTCGCATACCGCTTACTTTAATTGCAAAAATTTTGCCTCACATACCGCTTAAAAACCCGCTTACCGATTTTCCTCCGAGACGCGTCCAATGTGCGGCCTGAGCCACGCTCACATGTTCCGCCGGTGGCATTGTTTACCAGCCAGCCTCCGCGGTAACATCCAAGCATACAATCGGAATATTTCGTATTATTACAGTGTTTTCGGTGCTTTTTCTGGAAAATAAGTGACCATGGGCCCCAAGAAAGCTTCTAGTGCCAACCCTACAGCAATAAGGGTGAGAATTACAATAGAGAAGAAGAAAAAGATCATTGATAAGTATCGCTACTATTGGTGGTACAGCTGCTGCTGCTGCTGCTGCTGCACTGTCAGCTGCTGCTGCTGCTGTAGCATCGTCTGCTGCTGCTGCTGCTGCTGTAGCATCGTCTGCTGCTGCTGTAGCATCGTCTGCTGCAGCTGTAGCATTGTCTGCTGCTGCTGCTGCTGCTGTAGCATCGTCTGCTGCTGCTGCTGCTGTAGCATCGTCTGCTGCTGCTGTATCATTGTCTGCTGCTGCTGCTGCTGCTGTAGCATCGTCTGCTGCTGCTGTAGCATCGTCTGCTGCTGCTGTAGCATTGTTGCTGCTGTACCACCGTCTGTTGCTGCTGTACCACCGTCAGCTGCTGCTGCGCTGCTGTAGCACCGTTGTTGGTGTGGCTTATTGAGAATACCAAGAAACAATTAACCCCAGAGGATTTGCCACCCAGGATAACCCAAAAAAGTCAGTGTCATCGAAGACTGTCTAACTTATTTCCTTTGGGGGTCCTTAATCTTGTCTCCCAGGATGCAACCCACACCAGTCGACTAACACCCAGGTGAACAGGGAAAAATGCCTGGAACTAGTGCTCATATTGGTGAATTTAAAGCCAGCAAAGGTTGGTTTGAGAGATTTAAGAATCGTAGTGGCATATACAGTGTGATAAGGCCTGTTCTGGAAGAAAATGCCAAACAGGACCTACAGTACTCAGGAGGAAAAGGCACTCCCAGGACACAGTGTCTCATCAGTCATTGCTGCATCTTCAATAAAGGTAAGTGTCATTTATTCTTCATTTAGTAGACTAGTACATGCACAATATATACTGTGCATGTACTACTCTACTATTGTGCATGTATCCATCTCTTTGTGTGTGGGAAAATGTATATTTCATGTGGTAAAATTTTTTTTTTCATACTTTTGGGTGTCTTGCACGGATTAATTTTATTTCCATTATTTCTTATGGGGAAAATTCATTCACATAACGATTATTTCGCATAACAATTACCCCTCTTGCACGGATTAAAATCGTTAACCGGGGGTCCACTGTATATCTTTCAACGTACCAGCCATATCCCACTGAGTTGGGGTGGCCCAAAAGGAAAAATGAAAGTTTCTTCTTTTAAATTTAGTAATATATTCAGGAGAAGGAGTTACTAACCCCTTGCTCTCTGCATTTAAGTTGCCTCTTATGACACGCATGGCTTACACAATATATATTAAGTATATAAATAATACATACTCTCCATAGGGAAGTGGAGAAGACTCCTCAAGTCATGCATGTTGTAAGAGGTAACTAAAATGCCGGGAGCAAGGGGCTAATAACCCCTTCTCCTGTATAAATTACTAAATGTGTAAAGAAGAAAATCTTTGGTTCCTTCGTTTTTTTGGATCACCCTGCCTCAGTGGGAGACAGCTGGTGTGTTAAAAAAAATTATACATACTTATGTACTTTGTGGAAACACTACAATCTTTTTGTAAATAATGATCCCCAGGATGATTTCAATTAATTTCACATTTCAGAATTGCCCTGTCACAGCTGGTTTTGAGGATATATGAAATATAAACTAATAACAGTACCTTGAGTTTTTATCCAGTGAATTCTGTTGGTGTTCATTTCATTTTGAAAACTACAGAAATCAAGAAGTCAAGACAAAACAGTTACAGGTATGTCTGGGTATTGTGGTATATACAGGGTAAAATTAGGTTAGTGTTTGAACGCATAACTTAATATCTTATACTTACAAATGTGTGGACAAGAAAATAAAACAAGGTGCTTTTCTTAACTCATGTGATTACTGTATCAGTGAACTTAGTCATTTCTTCAGCTAGTATCTATATGTTGTCTTGATTCTTTCAGCAGATTTTCTTACTTAAGAAGGTAGCCTCTTGTTTAATCTTCCCTGTACTGTATTTTCTTTGATCTTTGGGTGAACATTTAAAGGACACTCTGAAACCCTGTAAATTATGTTTATTGGCTGATAACTCTGTCAAGGAAGTGGAGCAGTCACCATTTGCTTGCATTGAGTATTTACACTGTTGGCATCTGAGGTTTCAAGGATAAGAGAGAGATTCGGGAGGGAGAAAAATGATAGATGAAGGAAAAAAAAAAAGGCTAAATATAAGACAGCAGTAGCTGTTGAATTGGGAAGTGGAGACACTGTAGCATTCATTAAGAGTCCATATAAATTTACAAAGATATTCACTATAAGGCTAACCAGGTAAAAATATTTAATATATATTGAGTATTCTAAATCTTCATAATTGATCGTAAAGGTTTAGCTGAATACAGTAGCCTCATGCAAGTTTATGCAACACTGAAGATAACATGTACAATTCTCCTAGTTAATAGTTTTTTTATTTATTATTTTTATTATCACACTGGCCGATTCCCACCAAGGCAGGGTGGCCCGAAAAAGAAAAACTTTCACCATCATTCACTCCATCACTGTCTTGCCAGAAGGGTGCTTTACACTACAGTTTTTAAACTGCAACATTAACATCCCTCCTTCAGAGTGCAGGCACTGTACTTCCCATCTCCAGGACTCAAGTCCGGCCTGCCGGTTTCCCTGAATCCCTTCATAAATGTTACTTTGCTCACACTCCAACAGCACGTCAAGTATTAAAAACCATTTGTCTCCATTCACTCCTATCAAACACGCTCACGCATGCCTGCTGGAAGTCCAAGCCCCTCGCACACAAAACCTCCTTTACCCCCTCCCTCCAACCTTTCCTAGGCCGACCCCTACCCCGCCTTCCTTCCACTACAGACTGATACACTCTTGAAGTCATTCTGTTTCGCTCCATTCTCTCTACATGTCCGAACCACCTCAACAATAGTTTTATCAACAAATTTTTAATACCTATAAATAGCCAGTATTTTAGAGATAAGATGAACTATTAATAAATATTCAGAAATATAGATAATGGCATATCAGTTTATGCTGTTGAAGTATGGTCATAAATTCCTACTTCTACAAGATTTTAGTTATCATCCTCTACTTAACCCTTTGACTGTTTTGGTTGTATATATACGTTTTACAAGCCAATGTTTCGGACGTATATATACTCAATAATTCTAGCGGCTTCAAATCAAGCAGGAGAAAGCTGGTAGGCCCACATGTGAGAGAATGGTTCTGTGTGGTCAGTGTGCACCATATAAAAAAATCCTGCAGCACGCAGTGCATAATGAGGAAAAAAAAACTCCAACCTCTTTTTGGATTAAAACGCCGACTTTGAGGTATATTTTCTTAGTATTTATGGTTGTATTCTCGTTTTCATGGTCTCATTTGATAGAATGGAAAACGTATTACAGAAATGGAGATGATTTTGATTAGTTTCACGATGAAAACGAAATTGAGCTCAAAGTAGCGGAAATGTTCGATTTTTACCAATGTTCAAGAGTAAGCAAATCACACCACATGTCCAATACATGTCAACTGGGGAGTCTGATATTCTTTCACTAGTGCGCTGATATTATTTGTATGATTTTTACAATAATGCAGTAGTCTGCATAACAGTAAATCTTCTATTTTTTGTATGAATAAAAAATCAAAATAGAAAGCAATAGTAATATAAGAGGGGCCTAGAGACATGACTAATGAACAGAAGATATATTATTTTAGTGCCAAGAATGTCTACATTGTTTATTCTGGACCCTATTTTGAAATTGGCATCTTTTTTAATTTGCATGAAATTAGCCAAATTACCAATTTCTGACCACTTTATTGGGTCGTTCAAGTCAGTAAATGGGCAGTTTCTTATACTCAATTGATAGGAAAAATGGAGTTCTAAAGAAATAGCTTTGAGTTTTGTCAACTGGAACAATGGAATTGGCCAAAAATAGGGCTCAAAGTCGGCGAAATCGCCAATGCGTATATGTCGCCGAGACCGCTAACTTTGCAGGAGCGTAATTCCGTGAGTTTTCGACCAAATTTCGTACTTTTGGTGTTATTACCATCGGGAAAAGATTCTCTGTCATTTCATAAGAAATTTTTTTTTTTTTTTTTCCAAAAAATTTTCAACTTAGAATGACAGTTTCAGAAAGGAGCTTGCGACAGTCAAAGGGTTAAGTGAGAGTGCTGTGGTAGAATATGTAAAAATAATCTCAGAGGGAGTAGGCTGGTGGGCTTGATGTTACTAATGATAGTATTGGGGCAGTAAGAGAGAGTACTATTTCTCCTAATGCTCAGTAATAACCCACATGGAGACAAACTCAGGAGATTGTCTGATCTGTATATTTTGACACCCTTCTTCAGTCAATCTCTTGAGTTTCTGTCTCCGTGTGGGTTATTATTGAGCACTGACAAGTGTAGAACCATCAGACATGTAGAATCATCAGACAATTTACCCCTGTTCAACAAATGCCATTTGAATATTCTTAATTTATGGTACTGTATTTAATTCCATCTCCATGGGAAAGTGGGACAGAATTCTTCCACCATAAGCCTTTTGTGTTGTAAGATGCAATTAAAATGCTGGGAGCAAAAGGCTAGTAACTCCTTCTGCATATAACTACTGTAAATTTAAAAAGAAAACTTTCAGTGGGATATGGCCAGTTTGTTGAAAGAAGATTTAATTCCATCTCTTATCTTGTTTCCTTTCTTTTCTCTTCCTGTGTTTGCTTGCTGATATAGTCATAATTATTTCAGTACATTCTTGGTTCTGAGTGCAAGCAAGTGGTGACTTGAGTATATAAACATTAAGTTAGTCAGACACTATTGTTAAAATCTATTAAAAAAATTCAGGTGTTCCTTCAAAAGTCTGTCACTAGAAGGTATATGAAATGTATGGTTAAGATATTAGACAGGGCTAATCCTATATAAAAAGGAAATTCCTAGAGGAAATAAGATTTAAAATTATATTAATACTGTGGGTAGAAATAGAATAAGAGGAAAATAAAGTATTGGGACTAATGCTAGTCCAACAAGGTAGAAAATACAACTCAGGGACAATTATGGAAAGTTTCCAGTTAAGGAGCGGGAAAATTTTTTTTTTTAGAATAATTCTGGTGAATTGTGCTCATGTAATGATTTGTTTACCAGATGTTACCTTGGAGCTCTTGAATTTTATTGATTGGCTCTTTATCTACATAAACCAAGTTATTGCTATTGTTACAGTTAAGCTACAGATACTGTACCTGTTTTTTGTTAAAAATTTTGATACTCTATAATCAAATTCTTAATTATTGAACCAGAAGTTTAACCTGTTAACTGTCCAAACATAGATCTACGTTCTCTCGCCCACCGCTCCGAATATTTTGAAAAAAAAAAAATCTTTTTTAAATTAAAGTGGGCAATTTTCCGTGTGTAATAAGACCATAAAAAAAAGTTAGGGTCAGTACTTACCAAGTTGGTGCTAGATGCTCACCTGATGGCAACATGGCGTACTGCTGCTTGCAGAAGTGTTACCAATATACCTTATTTCTCCTTTTTTTTTTTAATTTATATATATTTTTTTTTTTTTTTTTTTTTTTTTTCAACAAGTCGGCCGTCTCCCACCGAGGTAGGGTGACCCAAAAAAGAAAGAAAATCCCCAAAAAGAAAATACTTTCATCATCATTCAACACTTTCACCACACTCACACATTATCACTGCTTTTGCAGAGGTGCTCAGAATACAACAGTTTAGAAGCATATACGTATAAAGATACACAACATATCCTTGTGATTTCTTGTGATTTCATAGCCAATGTTTGTTCTGACACTAATATTAGGTACTCAGATTGTCACAAACACATTGACAGGTGAACATTTTCACCTGCCTTGGTCACCTACTATGTTCTAGAAATATATACATAGTATTTATAGGTCCCAGTAATGTTTTAGACAGGCTGGAGTATATATGAAACTCCTTGAAGCATGGTGTCACTCCATTGCTGACAATGCAGCAGTGGAGTGACACTTGACGATTGTGCACTGTTACGGTTCGAATATTAGTCGTTTGCCAGGTTTAGTGCCCACCGTAACAAAATCACTTCCAAGAACACATAGGAACTTCCAATATTGGAAATATAAGGCACAAATGAGGATTACTCAGCATTTTGCAGGCTTTTTATTAAAATATTTTCCTTGGATATTCGTAAATATCTGTTAAATATTAATTAATGAGATTCTTTCAATAAATTAAAAGTCCTACATTGTAGGTATACAATAATACAGGTTTCAACAGTTAATTAGCACTTTCAATGTCTATACGGACACTACACTCGAAAATATTCAGAGTAGAACTATTTCCTCTATAATAACATGGCTTTAATGAGTATGTCCATCAAAAGGAATTCCTTCACTGAGTAAGGTCAATATCACTTGTGACTTCTACACATGACACTTTTTGACACCTCGTATACTGAAGATATCTGGATATGACTTCTGCCGACTCCACCAGAGAATTTTCAACTCGAGCCAGTTCAGGAGTTTCTCAACTAGATACTCCAAGATACCAGGAGAGAACCATACTAGAAGGTCTGCCAAGACGTTGTTCACCCAGTCAGCAGAGAGAGTGAACTGCCACAGACAGTGAATCCCTTCTTGGCATCAACTCGTCAATAGGGGGAGAGAGTAGAGCGGTGCAAACTACCCACCAATGGACATACCTTGTTATCTACACATTACTCAAGATATATATATATATATATATATATATATACACATCATACCCGGGTATATTCCTAAACCAGATAATATTATAAACTAGTGGAATATTTAATTTAGCTAATATTAAAGAAACCCAGAGTATAATATTAAGTGGATTATACATATAAATTAATCACAAAGGGCGTAACATGCACTGCCTTGGCTTTGTTTGTTTTCATTGTTAAATATAAACATATCTATCTGTTTGTCTGTCTATCTGTTTGTCTATCTGTCTGTTTATTTATCTGTTTATCTAGCTCTCTCTTTATCTCTGTCTCTGCTTATCTGTCTTTCTGTCTGCCTGTGTGTTTGTCTTCCTGTCTCTCTGTCTGCTTGTCTCTCTTTCTGTCTCAGTCGCTCATGAACTAACAGGTATTACACGTGATGCAGTCATTACGTCTGATTCCTGAACAAGTGAAAGTGCGTATTACTTGCCAGTCGTGCATATTATGCCTTATATCTACAAACACACTTTTTGTTTTTTTGGGTTATCCTAGGTAATTTACACTATGTATAATAACTATTTATATATACCTGTGAGGTAGAGACAGAAACAGAGACAAAGACAGACAGAGACACAGAGATAGACAGAGACAGGCAGAAATACAGACAGACAGATGGAGAAAGACAGCCAAAGTAAATCAGCCACCCGGCCAGCCAGCCACCTGGCCTGCCAAACACGTATTACACACGTTTCAGAATTGTTTTTCTTCACTTAGGGCATAGGTTATAGGATATTCTGGCAAGATGACAGTACCAGTGGTATCAAAATTGAAAGGATGTTGCATAAATGTTGCATGTGGATTATTATCAAGGTTTTTTATATTTCCTTGACCACTTGTGGCCACATCCATCTCAGTCACTAAACTCGGGGTCAACATCATTTTTGTCTTAAAAGGGGAGTGTTAATATGACATGACATCAGTGAATATCTGGGGTCTGCCACTCCATTTGCTCTAGCTGATGCTCAGTTGAACTGGTGCTCCCACAAGGTACTAAGTGGTCCCAGAGTTTTTTAATACTGCACACACTGAGTGGTAAGACCCATTCTATACTGACCCCAGGCATCTCAGGCCAATCATCTCAAATTTGGAGGCAGGAAAAATAAAACGTTGATCTACATTTGGAGTGCTAGCGATAAGAACGTAGATCTATGTTTGGACAGTTAAGGAGTTAAATAAACATTAACAGAATTGTGTGTGGTGTATACATAGTAAAATTTTCTCTTCTTTATTGTGTTTTTAAACATTTTTTCTATATATTTTATATATTTTTTGGATTATTTATATTTGTAGTGTGAATGGGAATATGAATAAGAACTTAAAATGTAGATTACCAATTGTAAAGACTGCTTTTTAAATTTAGGCTGTTCTCATAAATTTGAGTGATAAAGATATATAATTACTGTTTTCTTTTTTTAGTCATGTTTTGGTGATTATTTGAAGATGAACCAGAGTAGGTAATAGAAAGATAATAGTCCAGATTCGGTTGACATGTATTAAGTACCTACATGGTCTATGGACTAAGTATTCTAAGACAAAATTGTAGTCTGGAAAAATAATTCATAAAGTTAATTTTAATACAGCCATACACAATTTTCCATTGTTTTAAATTATATAAATTAAGATATGGTATTAATACACTTGGTGGCCTCTTTATTAGTTACACCCTTCTAGTACTGGGTAGGCCCCATCCTTTGCCCTCAGAACAGCCTGAATTATTCATTGCATGGATTCAACAAAGTGCTGGAACCATTCCTTTGAGATTCTGGTCCATGTTGACATGATAGTATCGTGCAGTTGCTGCAGATTTATTGGTTACACATTCATGCTGTGAATCTCTTGTTCCATCACATCTCAAAGGTTTACACCAAATTCTGACCCTACCATCTACATGTAGCAGCAGAAATCACAATCAGTAATTCTAGGCTATGTTTTTTCCAGTTCATTAGTCGAGTTTTGGTAAGCATGTGCACACTGTGGCCTCGGTTCCCTGTTTTTAGTTGACATGAGTGGAACCCGGTGTGGTCTACTGCTGCTGTAAACCATCAAAGTTTGATGTGTTGTGCATTTAGAGATGCTCTTCTGCATACCACTGTTAAAACATGTGGTTATTTGAGTTACTGTCATCCTTCTATCGGCTTGAACTCATCTGGCCATTTTCCTCTGACCTCTCTCAATAACAAGGTGGATATTTTTGTGTTTTTCACACCATTCTCTTCTCTTAGAGACTGTTTTGCTTGAGAATCCCAGGAGATCAGCAGTTTCTGAGATACTCTGATCACCTTGTCTGGTACCAACAATCATTTCGTGATCAGAATCACTTGGATCACATTTCTTTGCCATTCTGATGTTTGGTCTGAACAACAGTTGTACCTGTTGGCTATATCTGCATGCTTTTAGGCACTGAGGTGGTGCCATGTGATTGGCTTATTAGATACTTGCATCAACAAGCAAGTTTATAGGTGTTCCTAATGAAGTACCCCCCCCCCCCCAGACACACTCACACTCTCACACTCACACTCTCACACTCACACACTCACTCTCACACACTCACTCTCACACTCACTCTCACACTCTCACACACTCTCACACTCACTCTCACACTCACTCTCACACTCACTCTCACACTCACTCTCACACTCACTCTCACACTCACTCTCACACTCACTCTCACACTCACTCTCACACTCACTCTCACACTCACTCTCACCTCACTCTCACACCCCACTCTCACACTCACACTCACTCTCACACTCACTCTCACACTCACGCTCTCACACTCACACAACTCACACTCTCACACACTCTCACACTCACACACTCTCACACTCACACACCTCTCACACTCTCACTCTCACACTCACACTCACACTCTCACTCTCACTCTCACACTCACACTCTCACACTCAAACTCTCACACTCACACTCTCACACTCACACTCTCACACTCTCACACTCACACTCACACTCTCACACTCACACTCTCACACTCACACTCTCACACACACACTCACACTCACACTCTCACACACACTCACACTCTCACACTCTCACACTCTCACACTCTCACTCACTCTCTCTCTCTCTCTCTCTCTCTCTCTCTCTCTCTCTCTCTCTCTGTCTGTCTGTCTGTCTCTCTCTCTCTCTCTCTCTCTCTCTCTCTCTCTCTCTCTCTCTCTCTCTCTCTCTCACACACACTCTCACACTCACTCTCACACTCACACTCACACACTCACACACTCTCACTCTCACTCTCTCTCACTCTCACTCTCTCTCACTCTCACTCACTCTCACTCTCTCACTCTCTCACTTTCACTCTCTCTCACCTCTCTCTCACTCTCACTCTCTCACTCTCTCTCACTCTCTCTCACTCTCTCTCACTCTCTCTCACTCTCTCACACTCTCTCACTCTCACTCTCTCTCTCTCTCTCGCTCTCTCGCTCTCGCTCTCTCTCTCTCTCTCTCTCTCTCTCTCTCTCTCTCTCTCTCTCTCTCTCTCTCTCTCTCTCTCTCTCTCTCTCTCTCTCTCTCTCTCTCTCTCTCTCTCTTGCTCTTGCTCTTGCTCTTGCTCTTGCTCTCTCTCTCTCTCTCTCTCTCTCTCTCTCTCTCTCTCTCTCTCTCTCTCTCTCTCTCTCTCTCTCTCTCATTCACGCTTACACTCGTTTTGGGTGTGTGTTATTTATTATAGATGAACAGGGAGACTTTAGGAAGGGAAGGGGATGTTTAGACCAAGAATTTACAGTGAAGCATGTAAGTTAACAGCATTTAGATAAGGGTAAAGAGGTTTTTGTTGCTTTTATGAATTTGGAAAAGGCATATAAGGTGGATAGGTGGTATAAACCTTGGTAATAAATACCGACAAGTTGGTCTAGAAAGACACGTAAGCAAACACTATGACATATTTATTAGAAAACATTTCGGTCCTGGGACCTTCATCACTTTTAACATACAGAGGTAGAAAGACATTATATATATAGGCGGAGAGTGAGGTGTGAGTGACGCATGGTGACCTGAAGAATGTCATGTTGGGATGAGGACGGGTAGACGATGAAATCATGTGACTCCTGTGTTGTTGGGTTGGTGGTGCTTAAGTATCATGCATGCTAATGTTTTTGAAATTTTGTGGTTTCCAGTGTTACATTCTATAGTGTCGGTGACGGCGATTAGTGACAGGGAATAGAATCCACAGAATCCACAGGGGATAGTGTAGATGCCAGGCATCTACACTATCCCCTGTGGATTCTGTCCCAAGAAATATGTAGGCAAGACAGGCAGAGATCTTGCAGTCCACCTGAATGAGCATCGAAATGCCTCTAACAGAGACAATGTAAGGTACGCCTGTGTCTTCCACAGAGACTCCACGGGGCATTTGATGAACTGGAATGAGGCACAACTCGTTCTCACCGAACCAGACCTCAGACGCCGATGGTGCCTAGAAGCCTCACTAATCGCCGTCACCGACACTATAGAACGTAACACTGGAAACCACAAAAATTCAAAAACATTGGCATGCATGATACTTAAGCACCACCAACCCAACAACACAGGAGTCACATGATTTCATCGTCTACCCGTCCTCATCCCAACATGACATTCTTCAGGTCACCATGTGTCATTCACACCTCACTCTCCGCCTATATATATAATGTCTTTCTGCCTCTATGTTAGGAGTGATCAAAGTCCCAGGACTGAAACGTTTTCTAATAAATATGTCATAGTGTTTGCTTATGTGTCTTTCTAAACCAAGGTGGATAGGGAAGCAATGTGGCAGATGTTGCAAGTGTATGGAATAGGTGGTAGGTTACTGAAATCAGTTAAGAGTCTTTATGAGGATAGTGAGGCTCAGGTTAGAGTATGTAGGGGAGAGAGAGAGAAAGAGAGATATGGATATAGATAGATATAGATAGATATAGATATAGATAGATATAGATTTAGATATAGATATAGATATAGATAGATATAGATAGATAGATATAGATATAGATAGAGATACTGAGATAGAGATATTGAGATAGAGATTATTTCCCATTAAAGTAAGCCTTAGACAGGAGTGCATGATGTCTCCATGTTTGTTCAGTATATTTATAGGTGTTGGGAAGAGGTGTGGGATTAAAAGATAAAGAATCTAACATAAAGTAGGAGTTGTCACAGTTGCTTTTTGCTGATGACACTGTGCTTTTGGGAGATTCTGAAGAGATGTTGCAGAAGTTAGTGGATGAATTTTGGAGTGTATATAACAGAAGGAAATTAAAAGTGAACATGAGAAAGAGTAAGGTGATGAGGATAAAAAATTTAGGTAATGAAAGATTGGATATCAGATTAGAGGGAGTATGAATTGAATATTTTCAGATATTTGGGACGAGTTGTCAGCTGATGGGTCTGTGAAAAATGGGGTAAACCATAGAGTTGATGAGGCTTAAAAAGGTGTGGTGCACTGAGGAGTCTCTGGAGACAAAGAATGTTATCCATGGAAGCAAAGAGGGTAGTGTATGAGAGTATAGTGGTACCAACACTCTTTATGAGTGTGAAGCATGGATGGAAAATGTTGCAACAAGGAGAAGGCTGGAGGCAGTGGAGATGTCTGAGGGCAATGTCTGGTGTGGATATTATTCAGAGAATCCATAGCTTGGAAATGAGAAGGTGTGGGGTTTCTAAAAGTATTATCCAGAAGGTTGAGGAGGGGTTGAGATGCTTCAGACATTTAGAGAGGATGGAGCAAAATAGAATGATTTGGAGGGTGTATAAATCTATACTGGAAGGAAGGTGGGGAAGGGGTCATCCTAGGAAGGATTGGAGGGAATGGGTAAAGGAGGTTTTATGTGCGAGGGGCTTAGACTTCCAGCAGGCATGCATGAATATGTTAGATAGAGAGTGGAGGCAAATGGTTTTTATAACTTGACATGCTGTTGGAGTGTGAGCAAGGTAACATTTATGAAGGGAGTCAGGGGAACCTATTAGCCAGACTTGAGTCCTGGAGGTGGGAGGTAAGGTGCCTCTGCTCTGAAGGAGGGGTATATATTACAGGTTTTTAATTGCAGTGTCAGCATGCCTCTGGCAAGACAGTGATGGAGTGAATCGTGATAAAAGTGTTTCTTTTTTGGGTCACTCTGCCTTTATTAACACACCAGCCATTTTCCACCAAGGCAGGGTGGCCTGAAAAAGAAAAAAACTTCATCATCATTCACTCCATCACTGTCTTGCCAGAGGCATGCTTACACTACAGTTATAAAACTGCAACATTAACACCCCTCCTTCAGAGTGCTGGCACTGTACTTCTCATCTCCAGGAATCAAGTCCGGCCTGCCGGCTTCCCTGAATCTCTTCATAAATGTTACCTTGCTTACACTCCAACAGCATGTCAAGTCCTAAAAATCATTTGTCTCCATTTACTCCTGTCTAACACACTCACACGTGCTTGCTGGAAATCCAAGCCCCTCGCACACAAAACCTCCTTTATCCTCCTCCCTCTAACCTTACCTAGGCTGATCCCTACCCTGCCTTCCCTCCACTACAGATTTATACTCTCTCGAAATCATTCTGTTTTGTTCCAGCCTGTCTAAATGTCCAAACCATCTCAGTAACCCCTCCTCAGCCCTCTGGATAATAGTTTTGGTAATCCCACACCTCCTCCTAATCTCCAAACTATGGATTCTCTGCATTATATGCACACCACACATTGCCCTCAGGCACGACATCTCCACTACCTCCAGCCTTCTCCTTGTTGCAACATTCACCACCCGTGCCTCACACCCATACAAGAGCGTTGGTATAACTATACTCTCATACATTCCCCTCTTTGCTTTCATGGATAAAGTTCTTTGTCTCCATAGACTCCTCAGTGCACCAATACAAAAGGTTTTGAACTTGCAGACTCATTAAATTACACTTCTGTATTTAAAAACTGAGTATTAAGGAATCAGTTTTACAACAGTTGAACTGCATGTTGAACATATGTTAAATATAATTTGTATCCTTTGTCTTTGTTCATAAGTTGAAACTCTTTAAACACAACATGTTGATAAGTTGGGGGACCTTATTTCTTCACTGAATCCATTGACAATTGAAAAATGTGTATGTATACTGTATTTTCTGCTTGCCTACTCTGCACAGAAGAAAATAACTTGCAGTAGCATGGTTGTAACAATTAGTAAAAAACACACACTTATGGAAGTTAAGATGAGGTTTTGGTCCATCCTGGACCAATATTGTCAAGTCACAACTGACAATGGTCTAGTACACACCAAAATATTGTCTTGAACTTTTTTTCACAAGTGTGAATTTTTTGTAAATTGCCTACTCGTTATTTTAATTTTGGATATTTTCCCTATTGCATTCCTTATAAGAATTGTACCTGTGATTTTTTATTTGTTTTTTACCATTTTGGCTATTTCCCACCAAAATAGGGTGACCCAAAGAAAGAAACTCATCCATTTTTATTCATTCACTATCTCCTTTGCTGGCAGGGATGATTGCATAATTAAATGTTCATGGTTTCTCTTTTGCAAAGTTAAAACGATGTGGGTGATGACAATATTTATATTGATACTGTTTACATAAAGAAAGATAAATGGTCATGATCTCCATGGGGAAGTGGAAAAGAAGTCGTCCTCCATCAGCCATGCTTGTCGTAAGAGGCAACTAAAATGCCTGGAGCAAGAAACTAGTAACCCCTTCTCCTGTATAAATACTAAATTTAAAAAGAAAAAACTTTCATTTTTCTTTTTTAGGTCACCCTGCCTTGGTGGGATATGACTGGCATGTTAAAAGAAAATGGTCATGATCTTGAAATTAAGTTATTAATAATTTGCTATTGTCAGATTTTCAGTTGTTTTTCTGTGATCAGAGAAGACTGGTGGTAATGTACCAGTAATTTTCTCAAATATTGTGCTTTCTAGTTCTCAGTAATTTTGCTATATAAATCAAAGACACTTACAATATAAGTGATGTAATTAGTATTGAAAACAATTGTTCAACAACCATAAATTACTTTCACCACTATCATGAGGAAATATTATTTCAAATACTGTTTGTTCACATCCTGATCACTATAGTTTTTTTAATGAAATGTGGATGCTGGAGGTTGATGGTAATCTGATTGTGATGCTGATTGGAAGGGCAGTGATTGAATGATTAATGATGTTTGCATTTTCTTCTTTGGGTCAACCTACCTTGGTAGAAGATGGCAGTTGAGTTGAATATTTGTCTTTTTTATCTAATCCTTAAGCTACAATATGCATTTTGTCCTAAAAAACTGTTAGTAATTTACCCCACTTATGCCCAGTATAAAATATTCTGCTCTGCCAGAGGCAACATTAAAGCAGTGAGGAAGAGTATACTGATGGTAAAATTAAGTGTAATTTCCTATTTGGGTTTGCTGAGGTGAGCTCTAGTTCTTGGTCATTACTAAGGATCACTACTACTACATTTTCCACATTTAAAAAGCCATCTTCCTCTATAACTCTGGAACATTTGTAAACATAGGACCTTATTTTAACATGGTAAGAAACTGACGTGTTTTCACTACTGTTGAGTTTTGGGTCTGATGTCAAGAAAGCCAAGTTCTGTTCTACTGTTATGAAGCTACACTTAAAAAGTTCCTAGTTACTCGGTTAACTTCATAAAAGTAAAGATGGTTAGGAGGTTAGATTAAAGGACACAGGTGCACGCAATGTGACATTTTATTGTGGCAATGTTTTGCTGTCCAGGAACTTTGTCAAGCTATTACAGCTTAGTTGTACTTGTGTCCTTTTACTTAACATCTTGTCGGTAATTCTACCAACATTAATACATGTTTATGATGCATGATGTAATCAGTGTTTGTAGTTTCAGGAAGCAATTTAAATATTCCTACAGTTTGCTACTATATTTGGGAATATATCTGAATTGTATATTTTGAGTATTTTGTATCTTTATAATTATGAAGCTACAAACACTGAATGTTTTGTGTATTAATTGTTACTTTCACAAAAGTTAAAACATGGAATAGGAGTAAATCTTCGATAGCATTGTATCTTTATGTATATTATATTACTGACACTAACCTGACTTATAAGAGAAACTAATCCTCAGCATTATAAGGAAAATTTTAAGTTATTAGATATAATAGTTGTTTGAATCTTCAGTGTTTGACAATCCTTAAATTTTGGATGTTATTTTTATCAGATTATGTTTTAATAACTTGTCTTTGTTATTTAATTGGAGACAGTTGACTTACGCTGTTCACAATATTTCTGAAATTACGTTAACACTTTAATGAAAATATTTGACAAGATAAAAAGCTGACCTAGAGCACTGCCCATGCGGGGCGAATCTTACATCTTAATTCGGTTGGACATTCATATGCAGTTAGATCTGAATGCCTTATGAGAAGCTTATTTGCAAGTACAGTTTGGTATTGTCTCTTGCAGTTAGCAGATGTAAGATCGAGTCTTTGCCAGTCCTCACAGTGCTGAAATACCCACATGGGTTTATCGCTTTGCATAAAGGTTTATAAAAATTTGCATTTTTGTAAACCTTTTAATAAATATTAAAAAAATGAAATACAGCATAAGGTATACTGTATGCATAATTAAATTTTTGACAAAATATGCAGAGGCTTTTCTAGCATTGTTATTTAAGCCTGACAGGATGACAACACTGGGTGTGAGCACTAAGGTGGACCAAAATAAATATTAAATTGGTCTGAACATTTGGATCAGATAATGGAAAAACTTGTAAGGAAAATAACTAAGAATGGAATGTTGGGTAGATAACTTTTGTGATGGAAAAGGATAATGGAGTATTGCTTGAGAAAGGTCACTTGATGGACGAGAGGGAATGGAAGATACATTATGGTACAAACAAACCCATGCAAAGAAAATTAGAACATAAGAGGAGTACTGTATATCTCAGACTTTGAGATCCTTATCAGCAGACTGAAAATATTTTGGCCTTGGTGTAAAGCTAAAAATATACAATACTGTACTCCTCTTACCTTTGGTTTTATTTTGTCCCTTTGGATTGTTTTTACCATTGACCAGTGTTTTATTAAACTAATGCAGTTGAAGCCAGGTTATATTGGAGATGAAGCTAACTTGAAACATTTCTGTTGTCTCACCATTGGAGAGGTTCTCACAAGAGTGTTTAATAAAATTTCATGACTACAAATAAATAATGAATAAATGATGTTATTGTAGCCCATCAGTATTATTTTAAAAATCTTTGTTTGTTGTTGGATGTTCATATAGTCTACTTATATTGCAACTTTTATAAAATTACATAAAATATAGTGAACATTTATTTTTATGCATTCCTGACTAGATGGATTCACTTTGGCTAGGAAAAAACACAAATGATCAAAGTATTACAATATTTTTCTTAAACTTATAAGGTGTTATCCATTAATGCAGGGTGACCCAGAGAAAACATTAATTTCTTTCATATTAGTTAATTGACAGTGAAGACCAGTCCTTTACCCCTGGCATTTTGGCCATTGACAGTGGCTTAAGCTGGTGGGAGAATTGGACCTGCCTCGCATGGGCCAGTAGGCCTGCTTCAGTGTTCCTTCTTTCTTATGTTATTATGTAATAGATACTGCATATAAAATTTATTGGCACATTCATATTTATTTTTATTTTTCAAGACTAGTTATAATTTTTTTTTTTTTTTAACACATGGGTCATCTCCCACCGAGGCAGGGTGACCCAAAAAGAAAGAAAAAATCCCTAAAAAGAAAATACTTTCATCATCATTCAACACTTTCACCTCACTCGTACATAACCACTGTCTTTGCAGAGGCGCTTAGATACGACAGTTCAGAAGTCCCTCCAAACTGCCAATATCCCAAACCCCTCCTTTAAAGTGCGGGCATTGTACTTCCCAGTTCCAGGACTCATGTCTGGCTAACCAGTTTCCCTGAATCCCTTCGCAAAGTATTACCCTGCTCACACTCCAACAGCTCATCAGGTCCCAAAAACCATTTGTCTCCATTCACTCCTATCTAACATGCTCACACATGCTTGCTGGAAGTCCAAGCCATTCACCCACAAAACCTCCTTTACCCCCTCCCTCCAACCTTTTTGAGGACGACCCCTACCCCGCCTTCCTTTCCCTACAGATTTATACTCTCTCCAAGTCATTCTACTTTGATCCATTCTCTCTAAATGACCAAGCCACCTCAACAACCCTTCTTCAACCCTCTGACTAATACTTTTAGTAACTCCACACCTCCTCTTAATTTCAACACTGAATTCTCTGCATAATATTTGCACCACACGTTGCCCTTAGATAGGGAATTTCCACTGCCTCCAACCGCCTCCTCGCTGCAGCATCTGCAACCAAGCTTCACCCCCATATAAGAGTGTTGGTACCACTATACTTTCATACATTCCCTTCTTTGCCTCCATGGATAACAAATATTTAAATAACAAATATTCTTATTTTTTATATTTTTTGTTAGCTATTCTTTTCCAGTTTTCCCAGGGAGAATGGGCTAAAATACTTTTGCCTATTCAATTTTTTTTTATTTATACATCAGCCGATTCCCACCAAGGCAGGGTGGCCCAAAAAAGAAAAACTTTCATCATCATTCACTCCATCACTGTCTTGCCAGAGGGGTGCTTTACACTGCAGTTTATAAAACTGCAACATTAACACCTCTCCTTCAGAGTGCAGACACTGTACTTCCCATCTCCAGGACTTAAATCAGGCCTTCCGGTTTCCCTGAATCCCTTCGTAAATGTTACTTTGCTCACACTCCAACAGCATGTCAAGTATTAAAAACCATTTGTCTCCATTCACTCCTATCAAATACGCTGATGCATGCTTGCTGGAAGTCCAAGCCCTTTGCACACAAAACCTCCTTTACCCCCTCCCTCCAACCTTTCCTAGGCTGACCCCTACCCCACCTTCCCTCCATTACAGATTTATACACTCTCGAAGTCATTCTGTTTCGTTCCATTCAATCTACATGTCCAAAGTATAAAAATAATGTAGTTTACATGTAATAAAACATTATTAGGTGCAGAAGAGAGCCATAAGTTTTGCACATTTAGAATTAAACAGACTGGTGGAGTACACGTACAGTGATATCTACAGAGTGATTTGGTACAACTGGTTGTACAAGGTATGGTGATACTGACAAGATGTGGAAGAAGATTCATACATTCAGAGGCATTTATTAATGGAAATGTCTTGTCATGAGTGGCTTCTTCATTTCTAATTGAGAGAAAAAAAGGGAGAGGGAGCATATTTAGTGAGTGGAAACAGGTGACACAAAGCTAGGCGGTAGTCAACTGAGCATAGATCATGTGACTGTGAGAGTTGATTGGTGTTACCTGATGGCTGTTTCCAGGCTGGGCAATGATTTAATTGCCACATCCTTGGAGACAACAAAGCCGCTTGACTTCTGTAGGACAGCCTTAGAGATTACCATAATGGCATTTCTTTCTGTGCAAGTCATTTTCATGGATAACCAGCTTAATATCATTGAGGTGTTCTTTGTTGGGTCTGTGACCACTGGTGTTTCTTAGATTATTATACTATATGCAGACATATTGGTGTTGAGTCCTTAGTTCGAAAGACCTTGCTGTTTCAACCACATACTTCTTGTCACATTCCCCACAGGATATGACAGACTTTGCACTGGTGGATGGGTCTGTTCTCTGCTTTTTACATACTAAATCTTTGCTAAAGGTGGAAGAGTTTGTAGCTATGTTGAGATGGTTGTGGGTAATATTAATAAATATGTTGGACAGTATACCAAGGATGTGTGTTGCCCATTTTCTGTAACTGAACAAATGTAGAGCAAAAAAACTTAGTGCATAAAAAGCAGAGAACAGATCCATTCACTGGTGAGGAATGTCTTAAGAGGTATGTAGGCAAGATGGCATGGTACCTTGAACTGAGGATTCAAAAACTCAAATACACCTCCAGCCATGACAAACTAAGCAAAACTTGCGTATAATACAGAAACAGCAAGGGACACTTCATGCAATTTGATGCTAAACTAGTCATCCATAAAAATGACCTGAGCAATTGGAAAGGCTGAGATGGCTCCCTAATAGCAATCCCTAACACCATCCCACAGAAGTTGGACAGTTTCAGCATCTCCAAGCATTTGGAGATTTAAATTGTTGCCCAGCCTGGACACAGATATTAGGTGACACTAATCCCCATCCCCCCTCTACACATGCATGCACGTGAGTGAGTCAATCATGCAATACCCACTTTGTCATGTGGCCCACTTACATCTGATGACCGTCTCACTTCTTGTCATCTGTCTCCACTCACTATGTGCTCACTTATTATTTGTCTATGTATATGGACTGAAGAAGCCATTTGTGGTGAAATGTTTCATTTTAATAAATGTCATAACTGTATGTGTGTCCTTCATATCATTACAACTGGTTAATTGAATATGAATCATGGAGGTGGGAAGTACAGTGATTGCACTTTAAGAACTAGGTGAGGATGCTGCAGTTCAATAGGTTATTTCAGTGTGGTGTTTGTACACTTCTAGAAAGACAGCCAAGGAGTGAATGTGCTTGCTTCTTTGAGTCACTCTGCAGTGTTTGGAAATGACCAGTTTGTTATTAAATAAAATATTCTAGCTCTTTATAATTTCATAATTTATCATTAAAGTTTCATGTAAATTACTGGTATTTTAATCTTGTAATGCAGAAATTATTGACAAAAAGCTGTTGAGACAATGGATATTGTTTTATAGATAATGTGTTAAATATTTATAATATTGATTAAATGTATTTTTTTACATTTATATCCAGTAATGTAAAATTCCATGTATAATTATAGTACAGATGTGTCTGCCTGCATGGTACAGCTCTAGTTATTATTATTATTATTGTAATTATTATTATTACTACTACTACTACTGCTACAGTACAGCATTATTATTATACAGTATTCACAAAACATGCACTAAACCTTTGTGTGTCATACAGCAGTTTTTGGTTTGTGAGTACAGTATGGCTCTGTTTATTGTTGATGACTCCAGGTTTCCCTTCATAAAGCTTGGTATTAGTCCCAATGGGCTCTTCAAGGGAATTCCTTGATGCTGGTGAAGGGCTCTTGATTTAGCAATTGAAGCAACCCTCCTATTCCCCAGATGCTATATAACCCATATGGGTGTAGTGTTTCCTCACAAATGTCATAATACAGTATAGTGGCCACAAAATCTAAATTGTCAAGCTTTGATGGGAAATCAAAGAATTTCAAAGTTTCGTTATTCTATCTTGCAATAAACAACCAATGGACAATGTTAGTGAAGCTGATCATACATCAGGCAGCTTATATGTAACGTAGCAGGGACTTGCACTCATCACTCGCCCTCGGTTTCCTTGCTGGAGTTGCTGTAGGGTTCACCTCCTGGTGATTGTAATAGGGCCTTGTAAGTCTAGTGACTCTTGTGGGTTTAACATTTAGCTATGATTATAATATTAATGTAAGCCTGGTATGGAAGACAAGGCTTCTGTTTTGCCCCTGCCTGGTATGGAAGATAAGGCTTCTGTTTTGACCCTGGCAAGAAAAGGACAATAATTGTGAGATAACCAGGCTAGTTAAACTATCGGAAGTGGCAGTGTAGAGGGTGAAGAAGGCATCAGCCACTTTTCCCCTCTTCATGAGGTTCCCAAGAAGAAGCCAGGTATTGGAAGGCAGAGAGGGAGTGCTCCTCAGTTCTTTGTTTCATTTCTCTACTGTCGATAATTTCTTTTGCTGGAATTGGAGTTCTTAGAGGGGCATGGTGTGAGGTGCTACTTCCTCATTCTTGTCTGATTGTCCAGTCTCTTAAAATATTGTGGTGGCTTAGTCTGCATTTGAGGCCTTATTATTGTGCATTTTGTTCATTGTGGATTAAAGGTGTGTTTCTTGGAGTATTTCTTGCTTCATCCATTTGTTTTATTAATCACTTATAGAATGAGTTAAGCAGTTCATTACTAAAAGTAACTTAAAAGCTAGTGCAGTTTACTTTTACTAACTTGATGTAAGCCTGGTGTGGGTGGCATGGGTGGGGTGATGTCAGTGTGGCAAGAAGTGGAATTTGGGGGTACAGGTGATGTGAACATGGCATAAAGTGGAGTCTCTTGGTTGGTTGATGTCATCGTACTTGTTAGTGTGATATGAGTCAGGTGATGTCAGCTTGGCTGACATCACCTGACCCATGGGGTGATGTTATCATTACTTTTGGTGGTCTGTGTGGTTTTAAAGTACTGACTGGCACCCTGTGTCTCGACCAGCATCAGGCTAGTTCAGTGTTTTTTGTTTACATGACATACTCTGCCCTTAATGCATTTTTTTTGTGTTAAACCCAATGGGGGAGGGTCATATAGTGCCTGGGGAATGGGAGGCAATCAGGTTCAGCTCAAGGATGGGAAAGACGAGTCCGATTCCATGAGTCAGATGACCCTCACCAGCATTAAGGAATCTCCCTTGAGGAGGCTTGTACATGAAGGTGTTAATGTAGAACTTACAGATGGAGGGAGTTAATCAGGTTAACCAGAGATATGAGAAAATTAGAGAAAATGTTTAAGTTAGATTTTTTTTTTTTATCAGAGTCATTGATTTTGTTTTTTGCTTTTATATACAGTATTTAAGATTGTAATGAGTTGGTATGACATATTACGTGAGAGGAAGGAGGAAAAAGATTGTACATACCGTAATGTATCCAGTGTAACAAAGCAGAATTACACTACACAGATAACCCACACATAGGAGGGAGAGACTTATGATGTTTCAATCCAACATTGATCATTAACTAGTCGCACATTAATGGTCCAAGTCGGACTGAATTGTCTTCATAAGTTTCTTTCTCCTATGTGTGGGTTATTTGTGTAATGTTCTAGTCATGATATTGTGCCTTTTTGTTCTTTAAAATTACACTAGTTGAACTTGTCAAGCCTGAGATTCCTGTAGAATATATAATATATATATATATATATATATATATATATATATATATATATATTATATATATATATATATAATATATGGTGGAATGATGAAGTAAAGGGTGTGATAAAAGAGAAAAAGGTAGCTTACGAGAGGTTTTTACAAAGCAGAAGTGTTATAAGAAGAGCAGAGTATATGGAGAGTAAAAGAAAGGTGAAGAGAGTGGTGAGAGAGTGCAAAAGGAGAGCAGATGAAAGAGTGGGAGAGGCACTGTCAAGAAATTTTTATGAAAATAAGAAAAAATTTTGGAGTGAGTTAAACAAGTTAAGAAAGCCTAGGGAAAGTATGGATTTGTCAGTTAAAAACAGAGTTGGGGAGTTAGTAGATGGGGAGAGGGAGGTATTAGGTAGATGGCGAGAATATTTTGAGGAACTTTTAAATGTTAAGGAAGAAAGGGAGGCGGTAATTTCATGCACTGGCCAGGGAGGTATACCATCTTTTAGGAGTGAAGAAGAGCAGAATGTAAGGGTGGTGGAGGTACGTGAGGCATTACGTAGAATGAAAGGGGGTAAAGCAGCTGGAACTGATGGGATCATGACAGAAATGTTAAAAGCAGGGGGGGATATAGTGTTGGAGTGGTTGGTACTTTTGTTTAATAAATGTATGAAAGAGGGGAAGGTACCTAGGGATTGGCGGAGAGCATGTATAGTCCCTTTATATAAAGGGAAAGGGGACAAAAGAGATTGTAAAAATTATAGAGGAATAAGTTTACTGAGTATACCAGGAAAAGTATACGGTAGGGTTATTATTGAAAGAATTAGAGGTAAGACAGAATGTAGAATTGCGGACGAGCAAGGAGGCTTCAGAGTGGGTAGGGGATGTGTAGATCAAGTGTTTACATTGAAACATATATGTGAACAGTATTTAGATAAAGGTAGGGAAGTTTTTATTGCATTTATGGATTTAGAAAAGGCATATGATAGAGTGGATAGAGGAGCAATGTGGCAGATGTTGCAAGTATATGGAATAGGTGGTAAGTTACTAAATGCTGTAAAGAGCTTTTATGAGGATAGTGAGGCTCAGGTTAGGGTGTGTAGAAGAGAGGGAGAATACTTCCCGGTAAAAGTAGGTCTTAGACAGGGATGTGTAATGTCACCATGGTTGTTTAATATATTTATAGATGGGGTTGTAAAAGAAGTAAATGCTAGGGTGTTCGGGAGAGGGGTGGGATTAAATTATGGGAATCAAATTCAAAATGGGAATTGACACAGTTACTTTTTGCTGATGATACTGTGCTTATGGGAGATTCTAAAGAAAAATTACAAAGGTTAGTGGATGAGTTTGAGAATGTGTGTAAAGGTAGAAAGTTGAAAGTGAACATAGAAAAGAGTAAGGTGATGAGGGTATCAAATGATTTAGATAAAGAAAAATTGGATATCAAATTGGGGAGGAGGAGTATGGAAGAAGTGAATGTTTTCAGATACTTGGGAGTTGACGTGTCGGCGGATGGATTTATGAAGGATGAGGTTAATCATAGAATTGATGAGGGAAAAAAGGTGAGTGGTGCGTTGAGGTATATGTGGAGTCAAAAAACGTTATCTATGGAGGCAAAGAGGGGAATGTATGAAAGTATAGTAGTACCAACACTCTTATATGGATGTGAAGCTTGGGTGGTAAATGCAGCAGCGAGGAGACGGTTGGAGGCAGTGGAGATGTCCTGTCTAAGGGCAATGTGTGGTGTAAATATTATGCAGAAAATTCGGAGTGTGGAAATTAGGAGAAGGTGTGGAGTTAATAAAAGCATTAGTCAGAGGGCAGAAGAGGGGTTGTTGAGGTGGTTTGGTCATTTAGAGAGAATGGATCAAAGTAGAATGACATGGAAAGCATATAAATCTATAGGGGAAGGAAAGAGGGGTAGGGGTCGTCCTCGAAAGGGTTGGAAAGAGGGGGTAAAGGAGGTTTTGTGGGTGAGGGGCTTGGACTTCCAGCAAGCGTGCGTGAGCGTGTTAGATAGGAGTGAATGGAGACGAATGATACTTGGGACCTGACGATCTGTTGGAGTGTGAGCAGGGTAATATTTAGTGAAGGGATTCAGGGAAACCGGTTATTTTCATATAGTCGGACTTGAGTCCTGGAAATGGGAAGTACAATGCCTGCACTTTAAAGGAGGGGTTTGGGATATTGGTAGTTTGGAGGGATATGTTGTGTATCTCTATACATATATGCTTCTAAACTGTTGTATTCTGAGCACCTCTGCAAAAGCAGTGATAATGTGTGAGTGTGGTGAAAGTGTTGAATGATGATGAAAGTATTTTCTTTTTGGGGATTTTCTTTCTTTTTTTTGGGTCACCCTGCCTCGGTGGGAGACGGCCGACTTGTTGAAAAAAAAAAAAAAAAAAAAAAATAAATATATATATATATATATATATATATATATATATCTTTCTTTCTTTCTTTCAACACACCGGCCGTATCCCACCGAGGCGGGGTGGCCCAAAAGGAAAAACGAAAGTTTCTCCTTTTACATTTAGTAATATATACAGGAGAAGGGGTTACTAGCTCCTTGCTCCCGGCATTTTAGTCGCCTCTTACAACACGCATGGCTTACGGAGGAAGAATTCTGTTCCACTTCCCCATGGAGGATATATATATATATATAATATATATATATATATATATATATATATATATATATATATATATATATATATATATATATAATATATATACACACACACACACACAAGGAGAATAGAAGCATCAGGGAAGAGAGAGGTGAAGGTTTATAAACTAAAAGAGGAGGCAGTTAGGGTAAGATATAAACAGCTATTGGAGGATAGATGGGCTAATGAGAGCATAGGCAATGGGTCGAAGAGGTATGGGGTAGGTTTAAAAATGTAGTGTTAGAGTGTTCAGCAGAAGTTTGTGGTTACAGGAAAGTGGGTGCGGGAGGGAAGAGGAGCGATTGGTGGAATGATGATGTAAAGAGAGTAGTAAGGAGAAAAAGTTAGCATATGAGAAGTTATTACAAAGTAGAAGTGATGCAAGGAGGGAAGAGTATATGGAGAAAAAGAGAGAGGTTAAGAGAGTGGTGAAGCAATGTAAAAAGAGAGCAAATGAGAGAGTGGGTGAGATGTTATCAACAAATTTTGTTGAAAATAAGAAAAAGTTTTGGAGTGAGATTAACAAGTTAAGAAAGCCTAGAGAACAAATGGATTTGTCAGTTAAAAATAGGAGAGGAGAGTTATTAAATGGAGAGTTAGAGGTATTGGGAAAATGGAGGGAATATTTTGAGGAATTGTTAAATGTTGATGAAGATAGGGAAGCTGTGATTTCGTGTATAGGACAAGGAGGAATAACATCTTGTAGGAGTGAGGAAGAGCCAGTTGTGAGTGGGGGGGAAGTTCGTGAGGCAGTAGGTAAAATGAAAGGGGGTAAGGCAGCCGGGATTGATGGGATAAAGATAGAAATGTTAAAAGCAGGTGGGGATATAGTTTTGGAGTGGTTGGTGCAATTATTTAATAAATGTATGAGAAGGGTAAGGTACCTAGGGATTGGCAGAGAGCATGCATAGTTCCTTTGTATAAAGGCAAAGGGGATAAAAGAGAGTGCAAAAATTATAGGGGGATAAGTCTGCTGAGTATACCTGGTAAAGTGTATGGTAGAGTTATTATTGAAAGAATTAAGAGTAAGACGGAGAATAGGATAGCAGATGAACAAGGAGGCTTTAGGAAAGGTAGGGGGTGTGTGGACCAGGTGTTTACAGTGAAACATATAAGTGAACAGTATTTAGATAAGGCTAAAGAGGTCTTTGTGGCATTTATGGATTTGGAAAAGGCATATGACAGGGTGGATAGGGGGGCAATGTGGCAGATGTTGCAAGTGTATGGTGTAGGAGGTAGGTTACTGAAAGCAGTGAAGAGTTTTTACGAGGATAGTGAGGCTCAAGTTAGAGTATGTAGGAAAGAGGGAAATTATTTCCCAGTAAAAGTAGGCCTTAGACAAGGATGTGTGATGTCACCGTGGTTGTTTAATATATTTATAGATGGGGTTGTAAGAGAAGTAAATGCGAGGGTCTTGACAAGAGGCGTGGAGTTAAAAGATAAAGAATCACACACAAAGTGGGAGTTGTCACAGTTGCTCTTTGCTGATGACACTGTGCTCTTGGGAGATTCTGAAGAGAAGTTGCAGAGATTGGTGGATGAATTTGGTAGGGTCTGCAAAAGAAGAAAATTAAAGGTGAATACAGGAAAGAGTAAGGTTATGAGGATAACAAAAAGATTAGGTGATGAAAGATTGAATATCAGATTGGAGGGAGAGAGTATGGAGGAGGTGAATGTATTCAGATATTTGGGAGTGGACGTGTCAGCGGATGGGTCTATGAAAGATGAGGTGAATCATAGAATTGATGAGGGAAAAAGAGTGAGTGGTGCACTTAGGAGTCTGTGGAGACAAAGAACTTTGTCCTTGGAGGCAAAGAGAGGAATGTATGAGAGTATAGTTTTACCAACGCTCTTATATGGGTGTGAAGCATGGGTGATGAATGTTGCAGCGAGGAGAAGGCTGGAGGCAGTGGAGATGTCATGTCTGAGGGCAATGTGTGGTGTGAATATAATGCAGAGAATTCGTAGTTTGGAAGTTAGGAGGAGGTGCGGGATTACCAAAACTGTTGTCCAGAAGGCTGAGGAAGGGTTGTTGAGGTGGTTCGGACATGTAGAGAGAATGGAGCGAAACAGAATGACTTCAAGAGTGTATCAGTCTGTAGCGGAAGGAAGGCGGGTTAGGGGTCGGCCTAGGAAAGGTTGGAGAGAGGGGGTAAAGGAGGTTTTGTGTGCGAGGGGCTTGGACTTCCAGCAGTATGCGTGAGCGTGTTTGATAGGAGTGAATGGAGACAAATGGTTTTTAATACTTGACGTGCTGTTGGAGTGTGAGCAAAGTAACATTTATGAAAGGGTTCAGGGAAACCGGCAGGCCGGACTTGAGTCCTGGAGATGGGAAGTACAGTGCCTGCACTCTGAAGGAGGGGTGTTAA